GTAAGACATAAGGAAAGTGGCATTAAGTTTCCTAAATGAGAATGTTAAAAGACACTGTTAAGAATTTTCCCCCTGAAGTCTTACTGATGTACATACAAGTTCCCAGGTCAGATGGGGCCCAGCTGAGAATCACAAGGGGTAAAACCAAGAAGCTCAACCCACGCTGCAAATATTTCCTGGCTAACATTTCAAAATAAAATAGGCTGTTGACGGTGAGGACAATAGCAAGACACAGACACCAAGGAACCCTGCATATTTTCGCTTAATTCCCACAAGGACGCGGCCTGGCTCCTCTGAGTAGACAAGGAATCCGAGGCCCAGGAAGGCCACTGCCTCTCTAAGAACATCACGAGAGCACAGATAGCAAAGGGATACGGGTTTCCGGAAGGTCGGTACCTTTACAGTTCCCTCAGGTCTCAGCCTGACATATTCTACAAGATTCTCAGTTGACCCAGAGGTAATCAATTCTCAGGGGAGGATCTGGATCCAACCAGAAGAGCTTCAGACCCATGTACAAACCTGAAAGCCAAAGCACTATTTCAGGAGGTCTGAGATTTCCATCAGGCCAGCTGGTGGTTCAGTTTTTGGGTCTCCCCCCCCCCCACTGTGCAATTAAACTCAAAGAAAGAAACACAGAGCAGTGTCTTGGGCTGGGGTAGAGTCAGCAGAAGAGCAATGATGTCCTAGTGTGCACAGGGCCCTGAGTTCAGTATCACACTGGGGGTTGGGGGGTCAGAGTAGCATCAGTTCCTTTCATTAAGTAGTTATAAGAGCCAAGCAACTTAATAAGTCTTTATGCCTAAACATGCTATTTGAAAATAAAAAAAAAAGGATGAAAACTGGAAGAAAATGAGTGTACTTGTTCAGCTTCTAATTGACACAGGGGAAGAGAATGACGGACACCTCACAATGCCTCCAGCTTGGAGCTACCGTCACCTCACTTCCTGTCCCACACAGCCCACAGCTGCACCGGCTGTTGACACAAAAACTGTAGCTGTCACCTTAAAGGGAACAAGGTTATAAGTCAAGGTCAGTTTAAAATACATTGCTGGGTACATCAGAGAGGTCTGTACAGCAAGATGGACGAAGCTATTCTATAGCCTAAGAAGATGCTCAGTGTTTGGGTTGGTGGAAGCTGATAGTCTTAAGCTAATAGATTCCAAGAATTTGTATCTATTAGTCACAGGACATTAACCCTGACACAGAAATAGGCAGGGGATGGCTTATTCGGGGGCTAAAACTAGTCCAAGATAATGTAATTAGCCTCTGGACAGGCAGTAACCCAACCGCTTTACTGTGATTTCAATCAGCCGGGCTTTGCAGGCATAGCTTCTTTTTAGGAACTCTGATCCACATTACTTATGAAAGAAACTGCTAAGGAGCCTGCGTTGGAAAGATGGCATAATCTACACTGGCACAAACTTGTGTTAAAACTGTTACCCACCTTGAGCTGGACTGGAAACATGTAACATTGTTGCCCTTAAAACCTGGAGTGTCTCTTGCTCCCAGAGTGCTCCCAGAGCTCAGCGGGTTGGGACCAAGCCATTCATTTCTCACCTTTGGGTTCATCCCCAAGAGGACTGGGACATCAAATCAGTCAGTAAAGGAGAGGGGCTGGAGGTGACCCTGAGGAGGTGTCCTCAATAGGGACATTCAGTATGCTGTATGTGAGGATAACTTACCCTGCAGACATCTCAAATTCCACCAGGACCAGAAAGTTGTGCTGAGACGACACATTCGTTTCTGTGAGTCAGCTCTTCCCTGTGCATGCATAGTCGCATAACAGATACCGTGTGATTATTTTATGCCTCAGGTGGCTCAAATCATTCCAGCCTCAGCCATCAAGAGATCTGATCATTGGTTTCTGTCTCTTTGATGCATACCCCCGTTGCCACGGTGACAGATCTTCATAACTGGGAGGGGCTGTCTCTGAAAGTTACTTAGCTAAAGTTTTGCTCTTTCTTTAGGAGACTGAGCTCACTTTAACAAGTACTCAAGGGACTGCAACAATTAGGAAGCTGGTGGCATTCTCAGCTTGTTAAAGTTTAATAAACAAACAAAAAACAGACACGGGGCAGGGGTGGGGTGGGGTGGGGGCGGGGGGGTTGTTGAAGTTTAAAAGCTGGCGTGGTCAAGTTAAAATAGCCTGATGCATCTTTACCACCTCGGGCTCAATCTACATCATCATTCATTGAAAACACGTTCGCTGCTCATTTTTAACACCTGTGAAGTCCCTGGCAGTAGGAATAGTTATTAAGTTGTCGGTGAGCGCCACCTGCTGGTGTGAGCTAGAAAGCACCAGCAACTTGACTGGCAGGCTGTGATAGGCCTGATACCATGTGTTTGTCTGAAAGAATTTGGACTTTGGTATTTTGGGTTATTAAGGCAGTGGAATGCTCTAATTGCTGATTAATGAGAGGTTTCAGGGGAGATGGATGTTACTATGTGGCCTAGAAACTGGTCTTGTGACATTTGGTAAAGGAGGTGGTGGTCTTTACCTTTGTCCAAAGAGTCTGAAGTGGAGAGTTTTGGATTGATTCCGTTGGCAGTGGAAGCAGCAGGTCTTGGCAACTTCAGCCACATGGGTCTGGCTTTAGAGTTAAGGATTAAAGAAAGGGGTTATGGAATTTGCCTCCGTGCCTAAAGCTGTTGAGGCCAGGCATGGGACAGGGGTGTCCCTGAATGGAGGCCTAGGAGAGAGGCCATGGCGTGAAGCGGTGAGGTTGAAGTCTGGATCGCCTTGGAGAACCCAGGATATTTAGAAATGCTGCAATCATGGGTTACCTCCTAGGAGGGCCGCTAACGGTGTGTGTGTGTGTGTGTGTGTGTGTGTGTAACCAGCCTGAGAGAGAAGTGTGTGTAGTCAGCAAAGCCGAAAGGAGCTGGAGATCTGAAGAGCGTTTTCACATCGGTCGTGGAGATGCAGAGCTTGGAGATGCAGAGCTTGGAGTTTGCCTAGCGGGGTTTTGGGCTTGCTTGGATCCAGGCTGTACTTCCTCACTTACATTTTGGAGTGGTGATGTATACCCTGTGCCACTGTGTGTTGGAAGCTTGTGATCTACCTTTTGGTTTCTATTCTTATCCGTGATTACAGTTAAAGGGAGTGCATGAACCTCAGAAGAGACTTGGAACTTTAAAACTTTGAGACTGTGACAGACTACGGGAACTTTTGAAGTTGGACTCAATTTTGCGTTATGATATTCTTACAAGCTTATGGGGGACAGGGAGCGGAATGTGATGACTTGAATGTAATTGGTTCCCATAATCCCATAGGGCGCGGCTCTATTAGGAGGTGAGCCTTTTTTTGAAAGGGTGTGGCCTTGCTGGAGGAAGTGTCGCTGGGGGGAAGGGCTTCGAGGTTTCCACCCAGTGTCTCAGTTGACTTCCTGTTGCCTGCATGGCGTGGGACTCTCAGCTTCCTGCACAGTACCCGGCCTGCCTGCCTGCCGATGGACGGAACCTCTGACACTCTAAGCGAGCCACCTCAATTAATGTGTTCTTTATAAGAGTTGCGGTGGCCATGGTGTCTCTTCACAGCGACAAAGCTTTCTAAGACAGAGCCACCCAATCAAAGGATACTTGAATGCTGTACCGAATTCTTTTCACTTCTTTCTTAACCTTCCTAACGCTGCGACCCTTTGATTCAGTTCCTCATGCTGCAGTGACCCCCAACCAGGAAATCATTTCATTGCTACTTAATTAATTTTCTCTGTTATGGATCATAGTATAAATATCTAGTGTGCAGACTATGTCCCCCAAAGGAGTCATGACCCACAGGTTGAGAACCATTGCTCCGTGGCAGACACAGCATCTAGCTTTGTAGTTGTCAGCCACTGGGGAGGCTCTAAGGCAGCAGCGTTCCTACAAGCTGCACTGGGTCTTTATAAGTGACAAACTCCTGAGACTGACTATTCCTGCCACTGAAACCTCACAAGCAGCTCTGAAGAGAAACGCCTCAAAAGGTGTGATGTAATTCAGCAGCTCGGGCAGGGCTCTCACATAACAGAAAACAAGGCTTTCTCCCATAAGCAGTGGGTCTCTGTTCACTGTCAGTCTTTGAAGTAAACAAAAAACAAAATGTACAATATAGTCTGAACAAACCCTGTGTTCTTAGACTCTTGTCTCCAAGACTGTAATCAGCTATGCATGCTACATCATCCAGCAAAACTATTACAACTACTTTTTCTGTTGTCCATGTTAATTTGACAGGATTTGGGCTCATAAAACATCCTGAAACTGTTTATGGATCAAATGAGATACACACACACACACACACACACACACACACTCATGTATGTATGTATTTATGTATTCATAAACCTTATCCCCAGAAACTAATCTAACAGGACCTCATAGCCAAAACCAGTTGATATCTTTTTAGGTGTTTTGGTTTGAGACAGGATCTTGGTGGTGTGGCCCTGGCTACCTTATAACTTTGTAAACCAAGCTGACCTTGAACTCACAGAGACCTGCCTGCCCCTGCCTCCCAGTGCTGGGATTAAGCTGAGTGCCACCACCACAGAATAGCCATTATAACACCCTGAGAAATACATTAGTTTCACTAGAAGAGACTTAACGGAAAACAGAGGAGACAGTAAGTTGTAATCTGTCAGCTAAATTGTTAAAACAGTATTTGTCTCAAAACTATTAACAGCCACTTCTTTAAATAATACACATTAAGGATTTTTTCCTACTTCGAGATTATTCCTATATACATATTTTAGCTGATAAATCTTTTGCTAGCTTTACAAAATGAAAATAAGCAATCTAACGATAAAGCTTCTCATTTTCTTGCAATTATTTTTAAAATAGTTTATTTTATTCATATTATTTAAAAAAAAACTCCATATTCCTCTTTTACATAGTTGCAGGTCAAAAAACACTAAACAGTTTCATGGTTTGCTGAGATACAGGTAGGAAAACAGATATATGACATGAAGCTTGTTTAAATCTTTCTTAAAGAAACATTATTAATTTAAAGAGTTCCAAGTAATTTAATCAAATTTTCGGCGATAATTATTTCTGAAATGTATAAAATGTAAATAATTATTAAAAGGTTAAAAACCAAAATGTGATAAAGCTTTGCTTCCTCCTTATTAAAAATCCAGACAATATGTCATATCAAGACAGTTCCAAGAGTTACAGTGGCTGCTGTCTCAGTCACCCTCAGAATCGCTGTCCATTCTCATGGGGACCGAGCCTCGCACTGAGGACAGCAGCCTGTCTTCGATGGGCTTCTTGGGGTTCTCCTCCAGATCGGTCTTGATTGCTCCTGACTCAGACAGTTTCCACTCCAACTCTGCGTGGCAAACAAAAGGCAAACTGTATAAGGTACCAGAACCCCTCAAAGGGGTCCCTACCCAAAGCCCACCGACGACTTAAACTTTTCCTGAGGGGGTTCAAAACAAAAGGTCAAAATCTGGTGACCACTTTACTGCCAAAGTTTTAAAGTAGCAAAGAGAAAGGAGGAAAACAAATTAAACTCTTAGGAAGGAAAACTAAAAGCTGACCGAATGAAATACTGTATGAACTGGAACCTGCGTGAAAATTACGGTAAGACATGAGCAACATGCTGCTGTGCTACCGAGTCTCAGCTTAGACATTCCCATGAAGCATTTAGAGGAAACGCCTCCACGGTGTGAAATCGAATTTTAATTAATAAAAGGGAAATTCCAGCTTCATGTCTGATAGCCTGTCCATTCAACTCAAAGCATTTACGCAATCCAAATAGTAAGTAAATAAATAATACAAAGTAAAGAGTAGGAGCCCAAGAACAAGTTCCTGTATTTTAAACTCCACTCTTACACTCGGTGAAAACGCCACACAGCGGAGCAAAACTAAGTGACATCAAAGACGCCAGGTAGACTGCCTCCCTTAACCAGGTCCTCCCGCTACGACAGCCAGCTTTAGCTTATCAAACTGCTTTAAAGTCCTCTATGAAACGGGGTTTGCATGGTGGTTGCCAGGGGCTGGAGACAAAATGAGACAGTCAAATGGGAAAAAAAAAAAACAAAACAAAAACAAAACCCCTCCAATGTAAGAAGGAAAACATTCGGGGGCCTAAGGGGAGCACGGCGACCACAGCTAATAATGAACTACACACACGAGACATGCTTAGAACGTAGATAATACTGTCACCAACGAGAGTGTGAGTCAGGCGACAGCTTCGCTCAACTACCTGTGATCCCTACATTGAGCATTTACACACCTAATACCTAGCTCTTTTTTTTTTTCTTTTTAATGAGCCATGCCTCAGTAATGCCAGGGGCAGTGTGCACCACCAAGGTGATCATGTGCCTGAGCATTGTTAGCTCCAGGAATTACGGCTGAATGCTCTTTAAAAGGAAAAAATAAGGTTTCTGACTCTTGACTCAAGAATGTATTTCTTTATATGTACACATGTGCACATGTGCATTTAACATCACTATTCACTTACAATCATTATATATACAGATGTACTAACCCTCAAATAAGAACTTTTCTGGAAATAAACAGAGTACATTGGTAGCAGACCTAGTGTACCTCACCAAAACTGCTAGTTAGACCTGGAAGGCCGCGCCAGATCTGCTAGTTACACATGATGGTCTCATCAGAACCGATGTTGGCTTTGATGGTCCCTACAGCAGAGTCTGGGTATTTAATAGAGACTAATGTCTTTCTCACAAGACTACCCTGGTTCTTAAGAAAGTGGGTCGCAACTGGCCGTGGTCGCTCACTCACGCCTTTACTCCTAGGAGCTGGGAGACAGAGGCAGGCGGATCTCTGTGAATTCAAGGCCAGCCTGGTCTACAGAGAGTTCCAGCACGGCCAGGCAGTCAGGGCTATACAGCGAAACAAACAGGATGTTACCACACGGTAAACCTGGCGCCTCTTCTCAGACGCTCCCAATCATGTCTGTACCAGGCTGAATAACTGGGTGTAAAAGTGTACAAGAACATGTATATAAAAAACCATGTATATAAACCAAGTATACAAGAAAGTATATTTTTAAAGAGAAGCAAAGCAGTTGGGTAGATTATATTTCAATGAAGAAATAACCAATTTCACCTGACAGAGAAGCCACTAGCCTCAGATTCTGTCACGACTCATATATGTTAACACCCCCATGGATAACAGGTATAAAGGAATAAAAAACAAAAAAACCCTTCCAAAGTTAAGAGATAGCATTAAATGAAATTTAAAAATCAAGACTACAGAGGAATGCAAGCATACATATAAGCGAGTGCCATTAACATGTAAGCTAAGTTAAAAGCAAAACCCGTGATTTTAAGCTACACCGGTAAACAAAATACTCAAGCAGACGAGTGGAATATATTTGATGCTGACAGAAAGTAAAGGTGAGTCCAGTGTGGCCCCTCTTCCCGAGAACAGCGGAGTCTAGCTCACTGCTCCTGGGGACTCTGCCACACAGAGGCAGAGGTAAACTGAACAAACCGTGACGCCCATCTAGGAAACTGGCACTCCCTGCCTGGAAGGGAGAGTCCCTGCCCACCTCTCACAACACCCTCAAGACGTCAAGAGCCCCTCACCATCTCTTGTCAGGTTCATGCCACCGAACACCAGAGGACCAATGAACTGTGCCTTGATGTCACCGTCTACATACACGAATACTGTGGGCAGGTTCCTGTCGGGGTAATTGGGTATGCAGGTGGTGGAGATGGCTTTGACAAACTTCACATCGGGAAACTTCCTGGCGAGTCCACTCAAGTGCTGGTTTATCAAGGAACAGAGGGGAATCCTGGAACACAGGAAGGGAACACAGCAGGGCTGTGAGCTATGAGTAGACAGGAACAGAGCCCTGTGGTCCTCCCTCTGACATGGGAACCTCAGAAGGGTTTGCTACAGCAGGAGGAATCCACGTTTCCAAACAAACAAACAAATCCGTCCAGGGAGAGTGAATAACTCCAAAGTCCAAATCCAATCTAACTTAACGGTAAGTCTGAGAAAACAGCTTTGACGGTGTTGACAGCTGCCGCGCCTTCCTGTCAGGGTCACCCTGAAGAGGACACATGCTGCGTGTGAAATGGGCCAGAGGCACCCCGTGTACAGGCAAAGGACAAGCCTGTGTGGTAAAGAAGCATGGCCCTCCTCCCCGCAGTTCCCTCAAGGCCACCCGGGCCACCCGCAAGCCATCAGTTTCTCAGAGCCCTCAGATGCCAGATGCTCTGCAGGGAGGGCGACCCCATCCGGTTTATCTTGCTTTTCTGTTTTTTTAAGATTTAGGTCTTCCTAAATCTCCTCCAGCCTCAGACAGGCTAGTGTCAAACCCTGTCAGTCTCCGGCCTCAGACAGGCTAGTGTTAAAACTGTCCCAGTCTCTGGCCTCAGACAGGCTAGTGTTAAACCCTGTCAGTCTCCGGCCTCAGACAGGCTAGTGTTAAACCCTGTCAGTCTCGGGCCTCAGCCCCTCATGCTAGCAGTGCTAGTGTACTAACACACCTGGCAGAATTCTTTTTTAAGTCACTGCCCTATGCTTTTAATAGACACATTACTCACAAATAGTAATTTAAAACCTTAAAATGAAAACTGAGCACTAAGGTTTGGGCCAAATACCACAAAAAAACACAGAACACAAGTGCAGGTTAAAAAAAACAAAAAACAAAAAAACAAAAAAACAAAAACAAAAAAACAAAAACAAAACCAAAAACAAACAAACAAAAAAACCCATAAAACCAAAACCTTCCTTATAGGTTAAACCCATACAGACTGAAGAGAACACTTTACAGACCATGTGGAGACGGCTCACCCTTGTTTGTACAGGTGTAAGATCACCCATAAGCCCTCGCCGGCTTTGGTAACTTCTTGAACATAATCCTTCCCTGAGATCTCTAAAACTTCTCCGAATTTGTTCTTCAGCTGAGTTGCTTTCCACTCAGCCAGCCTTTGCTGCCTGCAAAACAGGAAGAACACACTGAAGTCACACAGATGAACACTTGTGCACGCACAAGCACCTTCAGAAGAAAAAAAAAAAAACCCAGTGACGGACGGGGCTGACTGATTTGCCTCACGGTAGAAGTCTAAGAGCAGTCTGTTGAAATGTGTAATACACTTAAAGTCCCTTCCCTGTGGTCCCTACGGGTGGCACTCACCGGTACAGCTCGATAGCACGCTCATCCTCCTCGCTGAACTCATCCTCGTTCTCTTCCAGCTCCTCCAACGTCATGGCTTCATATGTTTTCACTGAATTTAGTTTCATTGACAGAAGCAGAGAACATGAACAAACACACACGTTAGTGCCTTTGCTTTCCTCCCGCGTAAGGCCCGGTCCACCGGGACAAAATCCAAGGCACCGCTTAAAAAGACTCACGGTCACACTACAAGGACACAAATGGCAAGTTTCTCAGATCGGTGAAACGCGAGTCGCGTGTGCCTGACGCTGCCTGCTCTGGTCTCCGGGGACACACTCATGGGCAGGGTGTCCTAACATGTCTCATGTCACCCGTATCGTACGTGACACCGGCAAACTGTCCTGTGCTGTGCGAGTCGCCGTGTTTTTCTCTACTCGCCCTCCATGGCCTTTGTCTGGGATGGGTTGGTCCCCTTAAGCCTATGTCCTTGAGAGCAGCCAGGAGGTGGACTGTTCCCCACAGTACCGACTATCCCACGATACCCAAGTGCCCTGCAGGGGAGAGAATCCGCAAGCTCCCCTGGGACCTCAGCTGTCAGCCTCAACTCCCTCAGCTGCTTTCTGGAAGATGCCGTGGGCGCCCACTTTGATGGTGTCATCTTTACCTTTAGTGTTTGTCCCCTTACTTGAAGCCTCACCTAAGCCTCACTCGGCGCTGCTCAGGAAGCTCTGTTCCCCAGCTGATGTCTACTGGATACTCTGTTACCTGCCTAGTGTCTGCTGTTTATTCTTCAACTTTGGCTTGCTGTATACTTAATAAACTCACTCAACCAAAAGCAAAAATATGGCTGTCCATTCCTCATCCCTGGTGACAGACAGCATAGACGGGGTCCTGCATAAACCATCCTTCCTACAAGTGACTTTAATCCTAGCACTGTGGAGACAGACAGGCAGCTGGAACTCTGAATCTGAGGCCAGGCAGCTGGTCTACACCAGGAATTCTAAGCCATCCAGGGATACACGGTAAAATCCTGTCTCTGAACAAAGAAAGGTTTATTTCTATTCATGTATGAGTGTTGTGCCTGCAATGCGCATACGTATGGTGCTGGGCTCCCCAGAACTGGAGTTACAGATGTTCATGTGTTACTTATTAACGGGTGGTAGGAACCAAACCTGGGTCTTCTGCAAGAGCAGCCAGTGTTCCCCATCACCGAGCCACCTCTCCAGCTCGAGTTTGGATGTTCCCATTGGCCCTTTCTTCTAAGTGGAGGGCAGCACTATCTTTTCTTATATAGCCAAGTGCAGGGAAATCTGCCTCTTATTTCACTGTGATGATTATTCTTGCTTCTGGGTATCAAATCTGGCTACACTTAAATGACGATGAACATCATCTCATGCAAGCCACTGCTGCCTACTCTACGGACTGCCCTATGCCCGTGGTCCCTGGAACACTTCGCTGATTTAAATTCAGGACCCAGCTCTCCTTTACCCACGTATCTCCACTGTAAGTGAATGTGATCCCACCATTTTAAATACTGGGAATATGCTGACAACTCCAGAAGTTAACGCCTCCGGCCCTGACTTCTCTAACTCAACACCAACAAATGCAATTCTCTGCTCAACATCTCCATTTGTTTGTTAAGAATCATTAAGTTGGGCTGGAAAGATGCGGCTCGGTGGTTAGAGTACTTACTACTCTTCCAAAGGACCCAAGTTCAACTCCCAGTGCCCATGCCAAGGTGCTCAAAACTGCTCGCCCTGAAACCCACTCTGTAGACCAGGCTGCCCTCAAACTCAGAGATCTACCTGCCGCTACTACCCAAGTGCTGGGATTAAAGCCGTGTACCACCACTGCCTGGCTCTGTAAGCCTTCCACTCCTGTGCCAGTAGCACCTCTACCCCTCAGACTACCCAAGCCTGGCAGGCTTCCTTGCCTTCTCTCTCTCACACAACACTGCGATCCATCAGCAAATTCTTCTGGCCTCTCCTTCAAAGCACGCCCAGCTCTGACCACTCGCCCTCTCCTCCACCACGACAGCCAAGACAGCGGGGTCCCTGGCATTGTCCAAAGTAGCACAGAGGAAGACATCGAGCATGCTCACCCACTGACTGCTGGAGGAGCTGCTGCGCCTCCTTTTCTGTCTCCTCCCTCTCCAGTTCCTTCAGGCTTTCCTTCGGGGGCAGGATGCCCTTTTTGCGTAAGATGTCATTCCACTCGGTGTCTGCGTTGGGGTCCTGGGACGGAAAGGACAAGGGCGTGGTGGGGTAAAGTCCAGAAGAGAAGGCACAGCGTGGGGAAAGGCGGCAGACGGGGAGGAATTCAAGCTCAATCGCTCTGGGGCCTCGGAAGGTCTACTGGCTCCGCTGTGGCCTCCCCATAGTAAGCTTTGGAGTAAGACTCAGGAAAACGATGGGCAGATTGGCATCAAGGCTGCACCAAAGCTCCGACCTATCTTCTGTTTAGTATCTTCATCCATAATGTAAACACATTTCATTTGAAACTTTGATGAATGTCTACATCATCATCCAAAGTGAATCTGACCACAAAGCCTTATGATCATTTGGCGAAGACATGGACGGTGGGGTTGTAGGGTGTCTCTGAAGTCTCCTAGCTCTGAGGCCAGGAAGGAGACGCCTGCAGATGCCCCCTGACTTTTCTGAGCTCTCACAGTGGCATCATTCCGGCAATAGATTTTAAGTGGCCTCTTGTACTGGTTGGGGTTATTGTGTTGTTTTGTTTGTCACTTTGACACAAGTTAGTCACTCAACTGAGAGACCGCCTCATCAGACTGGCCTATAGACAAGCCTGGGGGAGGGGCAAGTCAGTCCACTGTGGGCAGTGCCAGCCCCAGGCCGGGAGAGCAAACTAAGCAAGGCCGGGGGACAAGCCGGAGGGCAGCATTCCTCCAGAGGCTCCTCACGCCTGCCTCAAGCCTGCTGTCTGAGCCCCCGCCCTGACTTCTCAGTCAACACGAGAGTTGTACAATGCAAAGGGCCCTCCCCTCCCTAAGTTGCTTTTCGTCATGGTGTTGTACCACAGCGACAGAGACCTAACAAAGACCCTACTGCATTGAGCAGTAACTAAGAAGGGTGTGGCTGTCGGTGGGCATGACGGGTACAGGAGCCACCACAGTCAAGGTGAGGTAAACAAGCTCCTATACAAACTAGACACTGCTATCAGGACAAGCTTCCTTGAGAAGTGACCATCTCCTGCATCTGCTTGTGTTATCCAGAAACCTGAAATTTTCAGCGTCAGCAAAGAGACCACAAGACTACGACAATGCCCAACCCTATATAAACCACAAAAGAATTCTGCTTGAATCTGGGCCTCTCTAAACAACAGGCTACAGATACACACTAGTTAAGGAAGTTTTACCTTTATCTCTGAGTGCTGGAATTCTCTCTAAAGGAACCTGAGCTCCCCTCCCCCAACAAGAGGAAATGGAGACAAAATAACATTTTAGCCAGAGGGACCAGAAAATGCAAAAAAAAAGTCCCCAAAACAAAGACACAGACATTCTGAGCTCCAGTCTTGAGAGGCTGCAGTAGGCTTGGGGAGGAGAAGGCTAGGTTGACAGATTTCTCCAAAGAATAAATCAGGAGAGCAGACCGTCCCCCACTCATGATGGCTAATGTTTATTAAAAACACTAAATGATAGGCACTTCCCTTTAGCAGAGCCAACACTGACCTCCCAGGTGAGATGTGGCTCTCAGAAAGATCCTGCCATCTCTGCTGATACCACTCTGAACCTACCTGATCTTCTCTGCTTCCAGAAGCTAAGCAGGGTCGGGCCTGATCAGAACTTGGATGGGAGTCGGTACCACCCCGAGGAAGTTAGCCAAACTGACTAGGATCAAAAATGGTCTCACACCCGGGACCCGGATGCCCAATTATTCTGGGGTGGCACGGGTTGGCAGAGCACTGACACGGGGGCCCGGGACTTGGTTCGTTATAAGAACTCAAGGGAAGGACCGTGGATCCGGTCACGTCTGTGTCAAACCCAGCTGAGACGGAGCACAAGAAAGGAGACGTTTCCTTTCAGCAAGGTGGTCAGGGAAGGCGATCCGGCTTGTGGCGGGCTTGTATGGATGGCGGCTCCCTCCAGAATGCCGGAGCCCGCAACTGTATACCCACCTGCCATCCACCCAGGCCCTTCAGACTCCTTAAACACAAACACACAGAAGGCCGGGGCCCTTGGTCAGTGGCAAATGTGGCTGTCACAGATGCTTCGCTCTTTGAGACTATTCCTGTGGAGTTTCTAGCACTTTCTTTGGACTTTTGTCAAATACTACCAGCAAATCGCAGTGTATACACACACACACACACACTCTCACACACACACACACACACATATATATATATATATACACATACACACACACACACACATATATACACAAAAACAAAACAAAATAACCCTCGGTTCTGGTTTTCTTCGCTTTAGAAATTAACCGGAGTAGCAGCCGGCTGGCCCTAGGGCTGGGCTCTGGAAACCGGGAAGCGTTGGGTAAGGCCAGCTGCAGAGTCGAGGCCTTCATCGGTCAGGCCCGGAGGAGGAGGAGGGGCCAGGGTCGGGGCCCCCAGAGGACAGAGATTTGCGGGGCAGGACACACCCCGGCAGGAGCGCCCAGCCTGGCGCGGTGCGCCTGCGCAGGCTTCTCACGCGGCCTGGCCGCAGCCTGCCGGGCGGGCGGGGCAGCTCAACTCGTGCAGACCCGCTGCCAGGCCGGGCGCGAACCCCCGAAGCGGCCGCCTTGTGGGTCCCGACCACGCCACACTCACCTGCATCCTGCCTGCTGCCACCCAGACCAGCGATCGGCGTCCCGGGCCCCGGCCCCGCCCCCGAATCCTCTGCGCGCAGGCGCAGGCGCAGCCCCGCCCCCGGGCCCCGGCCCCGCCCCCCGAATCCTCTCCACGCAGGCGCAGGCACAGCCCCGCCCCCCCCCAGCCCCGGCCCCGCCCCCCCCGACTCCTCTCCACGCAGGCGCAGCACCGCCCCCCAGCTCCGGCCCCGCCCCCCCCCCCGAATCCTCTGCGCGCAGGCGCAGCCCCGCCCCCGGGGCCCGGCCCCGCCTCCCGAATCCTCTCCACGCAGGCGCAGGCGCAGCACCGTCCCCTCCGTCCTTCGCCCCGCCCCCGGAAGCGAGCGATCTGGGTGAAGCCAAGAGGAAGTGAGGGCTCCGAGTCTGCGCCTGGGCTCCAGGGAGCCGGCGCTGCGACCGTGTGAGCGAGTGAGTGACAGCTCGGGCGGCTGGGCCCGCGGCGTTGACGTCACCCGCGGCGTCCTGATCCCGGGCGCTGCCTTGTTAGGGAAAGAAAGTGCCTGGCGAGGCCGCCGTAGGCCCTGCAGCTTCCAGGCAGCCAGCCCGAGCTGGTCTAGACTGGCCTTTCTGTGATCCCGCGCTGGGTGTCAGCGAACGAGAACACAGGCCCGTCTCCATCGTCCCAAACTGCAGTTGAGGACGCTGGTCTAGCCCTGCTGTGAAAAGATGCATCCTGCGCAGCCGCAAGCTTCAAGAAGGCCCCAGTACACAGCGGAGCTCCGTGCTTTTAGCTTGTAATTACCCAACTTTAAAACTGCAACTCACTGTAATCCCCAACGACCAGGAGAAGACCAGACGATCACTGAATTCGAGGCCAGCCAGGGCTACAGAGTGATCTACAAACAAACAGACCTGCAGCTGCCTACCCTGGGACATTATTTCCAGACAACTTAAACCAGGGGAATCGGAACTGATCATCTCTAATATTTTCAGAAATGATGTAGAGTTCCCTAAGAACAAGGTGCTTTGGTTTAAAAATTTGGAGAAGCCCAAAATTTCACCCGACTCCTTCCAACCGGGTTATGGACCTGCTCAAGTGTTTTATTAATGTATCTAGCTGAAAATTGTTGCGCATGAATTTTCCTCGTTTTCACTCCAAAGTCAGTTTTGGATTGTTTACCCTGGTGGTGAATTGGACCTTATGCTTCTCTGCATCCTGTATATCCTGCACAGTCTGCTTCACATCATGGTGTTTTATCACAGCAACAGAAACCTCAACTACGACACATAAAGACAATGGACAACCACACATATGTCCAATAGCAACAATAGCCCCGGATTCATCTTTCCCTTAGCAACACCCCCACACCAAAGATAGACTGATTCACTATTCAGAATGTATTTCCATAATTCACATTTTCTTTCTTTTGAGTAAAGCTTTGGGATGGCTTTTACTAGGCTTCCCTTCGCCCTCCTTGTTTCTGCAAGTGTGTATAAGAAGGCCAAGTTCTCATTAAAAAAACAAAAACCATTTTAAGGCATGTATTGTGGCATGCATGTGTATGTGCATCTATTCACATACGTGTGAGTAAATATGTGATTAAAGTGTTGTTTTTCTTGATAGCTCTCTGCTTTATTGATTTAAAGAAGGTCTTTCACTGGACCCAGAGATCCCCAGTGCTGGCTCGCCCTGGCAATCCCCTGTCTCTTCTTCCCTGCTGGGATGCCATGGGTCCTTAGTCTGTCCAGCTTTTGTGTGGGTTCTGGGGATCTAAACTCTGATGCACAGGCTTGCACAGCAAGAGGTTTATCTACTGACACACCCACCCAGCTCTTTCTTGATGTTTTGCACACATATCTTCATGGTAGAGGTGGAAGGCTTGGGGTTGGCCCGCCTGCCCTTCCAAGCAGTGCCCCTTATTTCTGGGGTGGCTATTCATAAGTCCCCTCTTATAACAGGACTGGCCCTAACAGGGCCAGGTGTTTGTGTTTGTTTCCAGGGGCCAGTCTGCTAAGACCTCTGCCCTGTATTACCCACCATCCTATGCTGAGTCATGTATGGCTTCAATCAGACCCTCAGCAAGTACGTCCAGTCTGGTAGCCAATCAGGGACCTACCGGGCCACAAACAGGAACTGTTATGTTATTTTCAGTCAACAGACCCCTGACACTGCAACCACAGCTGTGACCAGATGTCACGCACCAATTACGAAATGATTTCTGTACCAGTAAGGGTCGATAAGCAATTACTTCAAAGTACAACTAACCACAGCTGGAGTTCTCCTAATCTTGCTTAAAAGGAGCCTTCCGGCTTCTTGCAGGTAGCTGTCTTGCCACTTTGTCAAGTGGTTTGACCCTGGCATGCTGGAATTTTTGCTCTCTTGTTGATTGCATAAGTGTCTGGTGGTCTTTTATGGGGTTTCTCGTGGACCCTAACAATACGTAGGTTTAATAAAAACAGAGGGAGGGGAGAGAGATCCTGAAGTGATGCATAGTGTGTTGACTTATTAGCAGGGAAATTCTCCGTTTAGCTTAGGGACCCATAGGAATGGAACTTGGTTATCCCGTGATCTGTGATTACGCAGGGTATTACTTTTAGTTTACAATAGCAATTCTCTGGGTAAAATACTTGGTAATTATGCCCCCCTTTAAAACCTGCTTGAAAAGATGCTACAGCTGGATCGGGGGTCCAGTGATTTCGAGTCTTTAGCTTTCCGGAGTCCAAGCATAGAATGATTCTGCTCACTCACGGCTCCTCCTCCTTCTGAGAAAAGCAGACAACGAGGCGACTCACACAGCATGCTGGACACAAAATGCCAGTCCGATCCAAGACTGACATAAGGTGGGTCTGTATGTAAAGGTCCACCTGAGCAGCAGCAGTTATGAGAGCATTTAAAATGCAAGCTCTTGTAATGAACTATCCTTATAGGTGGGGTTCTGTGGCTGCTTCCAGATAACCTGGAACTCCACGGCCAGACATGATTTACATTTGCTAGTTAGGCAACCATCATCTCAAGACTGCTCTGTGTGTGGTTTCCCAGCCAATGAGAAACCAACTCTTCTTCTTACTTCTCAAAGTGTTTCATCTCTGATTATTTCTCTTTAAAGAGCAACAAGGGGGGAAAAAAAAAATGCTGTGTTGCTATAGGTAGATGGCTGCGCGATGCCTGTCTCTGTCCGTTTGGAGTCTAGAAGAATCCAGAACCGTTCATGGTGGCAGTGGGTGATGACTAGTTGCTAAGAGGCTGCCTGCGGTGAAAATGTTTGGGAGTTTAGGAACCGTGGGGACGACTGAATACAAAAAAGAAAAAGGCAAATGCTGTGAAAGAAATATCTAGGGGAAAGTTTCTGCAGCCCTCAATCCTGGAAAGAGCTATTTTCCTCAGAAATTTGACTGGCTGTTAGAATTGAGCAGTAATTTCCCAGGGTAAGGAACAAAATGCAAAGATCATACAGCTTTTGATTTTAAAAATAGCTTTTGCAGTTCCGTAAAGCTTCGTTTTGTATGCCGAAATTGCTAGTTCTGGGACATCTGGTTCTACAGGTACGGATAAAGCTCAGCATTGTGCTCTTTGGAAAACTGTGTCAGTCATTTACAATATTGGTGGCCTTTGGCTACCACTTGGTTTAACTGGGAAGAAAATAGTCATGAAAACCGTCCTAAGCATTTTTGAAGCATTCTATAAATGTCAAATGGGAAAAATAAACTTAAGTACAATTAGGTGGTGTGGGGTTTTTGTTAACCATAAATGGAAAATATTCAAAAGTGAACTATGTTGGCACTGAGCATGCATAAACATCTTGTATTAGTCCCTAAACCTATTATAGTAATTATTTACTTTGCGTTAGGGGTTTTAAATAGCCCAGAAGTTGGTAACAGCGTTGTGGAGTTGCTGTGATAGACCTGGCCCTGTTTTTGGGAGGATTGTGGAAGGACTTTAGAACTTCCGGCTAGAAAAAGACATTTAGTGTTGGGAGCTAAGTGGCGCCTGTGCGGTAGGAATGTTGGAAGTAGAGCAGAGGGGCTGTTAAGAAACACCTAACAAACAAAGAATTAAAAAACTTTACTGTATCTCACCAGATCATAATGTAACAAGACATTAAAAATTGATAGCAAGGAGAAAAATATGAAGTAATACCAGAAAATGGAGACTGATCAATACACTCTCGAATGACTAGCGGGTCTCTGGTAAAATTGGAGAGGAAATTAAAATTTTTTTTCTAGAATTAATTGAAAATACAAATACAGTGTGGCAAAATTATCCCTTTGAGAAGTCTTAGTCATAAATGCTCTCATTTAAAAATCAGGAGAAGGAACAGACTTCCATATGATGTCTGAATATTGTTTAAAAAGGTATACATTTCGAATCTACAGCTAATGTTACACTAAATGGGAGAAAGCCGGGAGCATTTCTTCTCAAATGTGACAAGTGTACCCACTTTCTCTTCTCCTAGTCACTCTAACACTTGAAGTTCTTAGTCAAAGCAATAAGATAGGAGAAAGAAATAAAAGTAATGTAAATAGAAAAAGGGGGAAAAATCAAATATCTCTGTTCGTAAATGGTGTGCTGATATAAGTAAGCAACCCTAAGGATTTCACTAGAAAACGCCTAGATCTGAAAAAATGCTATCAGCAAAGTGACAGGCTATGCAATCCACACACAGGAAACCATCGCTTATCTGTGTGGCAATTGATGAACTTACACACGAAGAATGGGAGGAGAAAAGGAGAAACCCATTCCCAACAGTCTCAAAACTATAATTAGGAATAAACCT